GGTTGCGGACCCCCTGTTGAAGACCTCTGCTCTAGACTTTGACCATGACTCTGCAATTCTGTAAAGGGGAATTCCCAGCAAGATTGGACTTTACAATTTAATGTTGTACAACTTTATCCATACCAGTTGCGATTTTTTTTTTTATTTTTTTTTTTCACAACAGGTATTCCTTCAGTTTTTATCATACTGAACCATAAATTTGGTTTATTTAATATGTTCTGTGATGGTCACAATGTTAAAAGTATAGTGGAGAATCTGCGTGAATCTAATTGGAAAAAAATAAAAAAATTACATTCACAACCCTGTACCCCCTCCCCAGAGGGAATGTCTATTACGTGCAAGAGCATGTACAAGCCCATTTCTCCTCGTGCACGCTCTGTTTAAAAGTTGCTGTTTGTATCGCCCATTCAAGCTTACTTTCAAAAAGATTTGCAGTTTTTCCACTATCTCATATTCTCCAATTCACTCGGTAAGCGAAAATGGGGACAAGCACATAGGATGGCCTTAGGTAAAATTTTTACCAGAATGAGTTACAATTAGGAGGACCACTTATTTTGATGATCCACCCAGAAAAGACCATCCTCCACTATACATTTAAGTAGTGGAAAGTAAAAACACTGCATGGTTTCCTAGTTCATTTTGGATAGATGTGTTCTGCCTGTGACAAAGTGGTTTAGTTTGTGTTTACCACTTGCCCCTTATTTTTTTTTTCTGATTTGTAATGCTTAAATTTAAACATTAGTTTGCAACTTTGACTTTCACTTACTATCCTGGGTTTGTTTGTGTTAGCATTATGTTGCAGTTTCCATCTACTTATGTTTAGGTTAAAGCTATTACTTCAGGATTATTGGATGAAATTGTTTATTTTGTTTCAAATTATATTCATGGTTTTTGTTTTCCTTTTCACTCACCATTGTTAAAGTATTTCCTACTACATTGACTAAATGATGTCATCCATTACTTTGCTGGGTTCTACCATTTAGAGGGTTTCCTTTGGAGTTATGCTTTGTTTGTTTTTCTTTAAAGTAACTTTTTGAGTTATCTTGTTTCACACTATTTTGCAGACTCTTTCTTTATGTAGATGACTTTGTAAATTAGATTTTTTTACCTGTTTAATTGAGGCTTGGTCCACTCAAGTGCAGGTGTGTTGCCACTTGATTATATAAGCCCTGAGCTCTTGGAAGCTGGAGGAAAATGTTTTGTCAGAGTAAAAAGGAATAAAAGACAACAGAGAAACTGGAACCGGTGGCTGAAGCTGTTTTTTCTTTGGTTCACCTTATTGACCCTTGACCAAACTACTTCACACTGCCCCTTTTATTCTATTAAAACACAGTAATATTATGAGAAGAATTTAAATCTATGGGGAAAACGGGTGTTTCTTTGTAACACAGATTTTATAGAAGGGAGTATTTTGACATGAATACTAGGGATACTTCTGTTATCTTTCAATGACATAAAGCATAGTTGTCTTTGGCGGGAACACAAAGCAACGATCTGCTCCTAGACAGCTAAGATATTGTAGTGTAGTGGTGTAGTAAAACATTTATTAAAATATGACGGAGGACGTGTCATAAAATTGAAGTCACAAAATTACAGCTCATAAATTACTGCCTGCTTTTCTGTCAAGCCTAGTAGTACTCATGGATGGCATGCAGAGGTGTCAAAAGTACCTGTGTTCACTGCTTGAACAAGATAAACGTACAGATACCTGTGTCGTTGTTTATTTAAAGCCTCTTGTAACTATCTATTGTACTTCTTTAGGTTAAAAAGTAAGACTTCTAGACTAGGTTTAGGTGCACTTTAGTACAAATGTAAAATTAAGCTTTTGCTTTAAATACCAAAATGCTTCTGAAAAATTATTCTCTTGAAAAAAGAAATAAAAAATTAAGTCATTTTGTTCACTATGATCTAAGAAAGAACATGAATACTGGCTTGACCTTGTTTTCTTAATTAAAACCTCAGACAGGATGATAACGATTTTGAACTGAACCGAAGTCAAGAAGCAATAAAGTTGCAAATAGCATTAAAATTGCAATAGAATTTGAAACATGTTCATCATTTGAATTTAAAGTAGAAATAAGGAGGATGGTCTTTGGGAGTAATGTGGAGTGAATGGGGCACCAGTGGACGGGGATGAGGCCCAAAAGAACTTGAGGCCCGAGCATTCTTCACATCTACCAACGAAAAAAAAAAAAAGGATTTATTTTGGCAGGTGGATAAGTACAATAATGTTTCAGCTACATTGCAAACGGCTTAACATATGTGTAATACACTAGTTTAAATTTAGTTTTTGTAGTTTTAATGATGACAAATGCTCAAATCTGTCCATTTCATAACTGTTCCTTTAAAAGTTGTTACAGCAGATGAAATAGACTAAGGTAATTTTGCTCTACTTTCTAAAGAGGGATGTAAGTAGTAGGTGGGATTGGTTTTAAATATGTTACTAAAAAGAAACGTTGCCTTTGAGTTGACCCACTGCCTTTAACAGTACATTCTCTTTATGCACAACTAAATCTCTTATAGTTATTTGCACAAAACAATAATTGCAGACACTACCTTTTTTATATCTTTTTCTGAATCTGTGGCTTTAGCTCAAATATGAGAGCTGGTATCATGCAACTTTTAGGTTTCCCTTCCCCTACATACCTGAATTTAATAGCTAGACTATCTCTGTAGCATGCAGTCAAGATAAGCACAGCTCTGCTAACGAGTTCATATTAATGTCACGTGGGTTGAAGCAGAGATGGATCTAAAATTTGCAGGACACTGGTCCTCAAAGACTGGAGATTGAGACCACTGATCTAGATAATAGCCTTTGATTGTTTTGTGTTTTTTTTAAGACAAAAACAGATTTGTCTCATTTAAAGGTCATTGCGGATGAGCTAATCGGTAATATGGTGGCCACTTGCACAGCTACAGTATGGTAGATGCTGTAGATTTTCTCCTACAGCCTTATATAGGCTAATAGGTTGTGTTTTTCCTTGGATATGAGCAGCCAGGCGCAGCCGTGTGAAGAGGTTCTTGCAGGGAGTGATGTAGGAGGAGAGGCTTCAGATAGCAACTGGTATTTCTGGGGTCATCAGTAGGACAAATAGGGAGGATATAATGAAATATTTGAGTTAAGATTTAAAGTAGAAGTTCAAACTTTGCAGAATAAGGAGCTGGCCTGCAGAGCCGAGATTTCCATATCATTTTGGAATTTATTGGCCTTCATTTGGGATCACTTCAAAAGCAAGATTGGTGGGACATATCAGGCATTAAAGCAAGATTAAAATTTCTATGTTTTAGGAAAACACAACTGATTTTTTTGTTTTCTGCTAAATTCTTAAAACCTGTAAACCTTTTGGCATTTGAGTTAACATCAGGAACACAAGGCATGAATTTTTTAGGCATCACATCAAATATTCTGCTGAGACCTCGTGGGAAAAAAAACAGAGCTCTACAAGATGAGGATTAGATTCTAGGTTTTAGATTTTTGCTTCAAGTGTTCAGGGATTATTTTCCTCCTTATAATTTTAATAAAATAAATAATTTTACTGTTTGTATTTAGACACTTCATCATACTTTGAGTGACTGAATGTGCCCATTTCTTCATAGGTTGCAATCGTTATTCTTGGCAGGAGAGCGATGTGATGTTGAGACGCTGGATTGGGCAAAGAAGAGCTTTGGGGTTCCAGTTTTGGATCACTGGTGGCAGACTGGTAAGGAGAAATTCATACCCATCATTCCTCAATTATGTAAGGAAACATAGGAAGAAAACATAGGAAAAATAGGAAGGAAAAGATATTAATGGACTGAAACTCGAATTAAGGGTTTTCTATGTTGGATACGTTTGTGTTCACATTTTCCTGGTAAAATCCTAATGGATTGATAAATATCTGAGGACAGGGAGAGAAAACACATCTTATAATGTTGACTGGTGTAATTCGATCAAGTTTTTATACTTAAATGTATATTAAGATTAAATGAAAGGGTGGTTAATGGATTTGATCTGGATTTCTGCCCCAAAATGAATTGCATGACCTAGATATTCACTTCTACACCTGCAGTAATAGAGAAAAAGAAAACACAGCAACAAAAGAATACATGGCAACAACAATGCTGACCAAAATGTTGATAAAAACTGTTCTAATTGGTAAAAGATGTTAGTCTCCACCTTCAGCTCTAAATGCTGTGTTTTTCTATACAAACAAAGAACCAATTTATTTCCCAAACAGTTGACAGTCCCCACTGTGCCTGCAAAAAACCTCACTGCTGCTATTATAACACCAGCCCAGGGGGTACCACCGACCGGCCCAGCGTCGGCTCCAGTCAACAAGTCCAAATGTCTCCAACTCCCTGAAATAGAAGGGAAGACGACGCCCCCAACAACATAAGCTTCACCCTCTTCATGGCACCCACAGCCTCGCGATACCCATACCTCCTTCTGAGGCTAACAGAAAGCGTAGAAGAACCTTCAGTGATTTAAAATATTATTAAATCTTACTGGTGGTGTAGATATATTATTTTTATAAAAATAGAATTATATATAAGACTCAGCAGAACCGACCAGCCGCCCTGCGTATGCATATGACACGCAACCACAACAGGAGCCCAGTACCAAGCCAATAGACGGACCCGCTGGGAGAAGAAGCATATTTTTCCTGTTTTTATTAAATGTCACACTAAGAGTGAGACTGCATCTTATAACAGTTTGCTCTGACATATCCCATGTATTTGTTCTGTGGAAGCAAAAAGTAAAGGTTTGCAGAAGCCTGGAATTATACATGATGGTCAGAAAATTAAGGCTTTGTGGGTTTTTGTTTTTTTCCCTCCACGACATCTTTATTATTAAATATTGGATTTTCAAAGTGTTTTGTGAATGGATTTGTGAATGCAGGGAGCATACTAATGTTATATCCTCCCACCTCCCACAGTTTGATTGCTTTTATCCCTAAGTGCTGTAGAGTTATGATAAATTTGTTAGAGCACAATTGGATATCTCTTTGTTGTGAAATGTCCTGGTGGTGCAAATGGAGGATCGATGCAGGGCGAAATGACATATCTATGGTAAATATGGAATCAATGCTGCTGTTGAAAACCAGATGACCTTGAGCATTTGGACGTCTCATTTTCCTCAGATATGTGTGCAGATTAGCCCACTTGACAAATTAGTCTCTTAAGAAAAAAATTGGAGTGTGTATAGCTCTGTGTTGGAATAATGTGGAAATGTAATTCGTGACATCAATTGTTGAAGCTGGTCAGTAAATCATAGCAAAAACTTTGGACTTGCATCACTCTTTTGTTATCTGCCTTTTAAAGGCAAAATTTTTGATTGTGAGGTTTTAAAACTTAACTGTCAGACTGCAGAGTACCAAGGGAAGAACCTTTAAAGGGCTCAGTTGTAGACCTACTTTAAAAAAGGATGCAGACAGGTTGAATTAAGTTGGTCTTCAACATCTGACACTTCTACNGCAGACAGGTTGAATTAAGTTGGTCTTCAACATCTGACACTTCTACAACAGCAGCAGAAGGTATTAGCTGTGGTATCATAACTAGACCTGTCGCGATAATCAATAAATCAATTAATCGCACGATAAATAGAAACTATCCACGTGATTTCATTTATCGGCTGTATCATCTCTGCCTGTGTTTTTCTCTTTCTATTGGATGAAAGGTTTTTTTTTAGCGAGGTAAAAAAAAACAAACACATCCTTTGTTGGTGGGAAAAGCTCGCAATGGAACTGGTTTCAAAGCCGAATGCAACAGCCGCAGTGTGGGAGTATTTTAGATTCAAACCAAATGACCGAGGCGAACAGCTGAACCTATGCGAGCCAGTATGTTGCATTTGTCATAAAACAGTAGCAACTAAAAGCAGCAATACAACTAACCTACACATGCACCTAAAACAAAACCGCCCAGCAAAGTTTCTCCAGCTGGGGACAAAAAGTACAAGCGGTGGCCTGTCTGTGTCTTCAAGTTCGCGTAGAAACAGACAGCGTAGTTCATTTAATTGTTAAAGAGATGCTCCCACTTAATATTGTTGAAAAGCAGGCATTTCGAAAAATGTTGCAGACATTTGATAGACAGGATGAACTCCCGAGGAAAACATACATATCACAAACATGATATGTTGTACATACGTTTTTATTTCCACCGTGGTTTTATCTTGTGTTTAGTTTTTTATTCAAGTGTATTTTTAGTTAACAGAGACTGAGAAATCGCATGCATTATTACTTCATTTCAATTAAATCAGTGTTAAATGGTCTTCAAACAATATTATCGTTTATCGCAATAATTTTTGAGACAATTAATTGTTCAGCAAAATTTGTTTTCCTAATCATAACTGGAACATCAGTCAAAATGGTGGGAGAGCATAGAAAGATGAAGAGAATTTCTCCTTAATACATTTAGAGGGACGCNGAGGGCTTTCAGTCTGGATTTTTGTGCGACATGCCTGTCGGTACCATGTGAGCATGCAGATCTGAGTACCCCAAAAGTAAGAGCCAGAGTTTTCATTATCAGTCTGTTTAGGTTTACATGGATGACAGCAGTTTTGGCCTCTGGTGTGATAAATGGAGGTTCAGACCGTGGCCTAGTACCATCAGGAGACCGACAGAGTCCCTTCATCTGAAAAAAGCCAAAACATGATACGCAATATTCCTAAATTAATTGATACGTGTTCAAGAATGTTAAACTACTGTACCCTTAAAGTTTCTTTAAAATATTTGGCAAGGATTGTAGAAGGGGATTTTTATTAATGCTTTGGTTCAGAGTAGATCTATGAACTAGTAGGAACTAATATACAAAATATATTAGATAATGCTATCATATACATATCAAGGTTCAATGTGTTTCAGTTGGAAACTCAGACTAAACTGGAACCTAAAAACACTTGTGTTAAGTCTAAAATAAGATAATTGTTTAACAGGTTTAAAATAATTTTTTGTAACTAAATACATTAAATCAGTTGTTTTATTTTTCTTAGAAATTTACTGTTGCTTCAAATGCTAAACAATATAGTTCTGTTATCTGGTGTCTTATGAGAACAGAGTTTTAAGAGCACAATCACGATTTTTGCACACTAATGAAGTAAGAAAAAATCCATTGGACAATTTTAATACAGATCGAAATTTGTTGGGAGGTCAAGTACATTTAATGCAGCATTAGATGTTCTTTTCAAAACATTTGATACCATTTCTGATGTAGTCTGTCTGATTTGACTGTTGCTGGAAGATTGGGAGTGCTAAGCAAAAACCAGGAGCTTTAAACCATAGAAGGTAGCTCTATGATAGTAAGAGATGAAACCAGATATTGACATAGAATAAAAGCATATCTGGCTTCATGTCAACCTTGCCAAAACAGTTGGCAATGTGGCAATAAGAATAATTATCTTGATGCCAAAAAAGAGCCTTACAGATTTTGCTTTCACAAGTGGAGCAGTACGGCTATTGCCATAGTGTTGCACTTGGTTTATGCATATCAATAGCTTTATTATAATTTAATATAATTTATTTTATTTATTAAAACAGAATTCAAAATGATGTAAAAGGTCAACGTTTTTGAAACCAACATGCAGGAGACCAATCTTTAAAATGTAAACTGTACTGGTACCCGCGCCAAAGCGTTCTTGTACCTCCACGATGATACCGGAGTGCTGTCGTCACTTTCAATCCACTTAATTATTTTTGCAAGTTTATATTCATGGCTAAAGATGAACTCTAGAAGCGGATTTCTTGATTACTATAAACGAATTGTTTAAACAGCATTTGTATAGAAATTATTCCTTCCCAAGCCTTTTGAACACTATAAGCGGTTGATCACTATATCCATGACCATTATAAGCTGATTCCACTGTATAAGAGATGCAATAAAGTAACACTTTGATACTCGCTGAAGTATAAATAGTATTATTTATTTTGACATGTATACTTTGGTAGCTTAAGATCAGAAGGAATCTCTAAGTACCTGGAACCAAGTTTGTTTTCTAATGCCATAATAACTTGTTTTAGTCCTGAATTAATTTAAACACCTTTATGTGAGTTTTTTGGTGCATTGGGTGTAATTTCTTTGTCCAGGTGACCTTTCAGCTCACTATAGTACAGGAATCGTCTCACAGTGGATACTGATACACTTCTACCAGCTTTAGCAAATGTCTTCAAAGTGTAGTTTTGCGTTTGTTCTTGTAGAGGGATAAAACAATACTTCATCTCAAAGACCCAGAACAAGTCCACTTCCTGAAATGTTTGATGGTTGGATATATCCATACTTGTTTCAACAGATCAGTGTGGCGCCTTCAGCCATCTGGAGTTTGTACCCGAGGGTAACCCAGACTTGCGGAGGTTTAAAATTCTCTTTGATATCCCAACTGTTTTTTTTATGGTATCACAAAAAGAGGGAATATGTTTGAGGTGTTGCCTTAAACTACATCCCCATGTGTGCCTCAAATTTAATAACAAAGCCTGCAAAACCAATATATCTGGGCTTAATAGGAAAACTTGAAAGGATCAGTAATCCTAATACACAGAAACTTCTGAATTTAGAAAAAGTAGGAAAATAAATTTCAATTCTAAATAAGAAATATTTAATGTTTGGCTGACAGACAAAACGAAGTGCATCTTTTTTCATATAGCTATTATATGTAAATATTTGTTTTTGTTTGCATATTATAAAACTTTTTTATCACAGGTTCCAAACATGATTGGAAATATTCATATTTGAA